ATTCTTCCAGCCTGGCATTTCTCATGATGTACTCTGCATATAGGTTAAATAAGCAGGGTGTTCAGGGTTTAGTAATTTTGTGGCCTAATTGAAGAAGCTTTACAATACAGGTATATATTTCCTCAGGCTGAAGCACACAATTCTTGAGATTTACTGGGTTTGTGTTTTGTCATTTTTTTTCCTCTGTAGGACTCCAATTAAAATATAATGTGAATATTACTGTTAACAGAGAAACAGGTCTTCAGAATCCTATCTATCTTTTGATTACTCTAAACTACTATAGTTGCGATAATAACATTTGGATGCAGATATAATAGGGTGTTTGCTATTGTAGTGTAATGCTGTTTTTGTTCAATTCATAGATGTGTAGTGGATTGCAACACTTGTATATGCAATTTGTGCTGCTGGCAATGGATTAGTTGTGATTAAAAATTGCTGAATCAGGAATCTTAAAAGTAGTTGCTTATTTCACAATATTTCTAGCCCACCCCATTTCTAGTGGATTCTGGGCGGGGTGCAACAAAGCAAACAACATTTTTAAAAGTGTACAAAATTAAAATAATAACCACCCCCTCCACCCCAAGTCAACAGTAAGCATCACAGGTGCCCATGAAGCTAAAATAACTAAACTAAGGGCTGAATGCTCACTGGAATAAGATTGGTTTGCTTTGCTTATAGAAAGCCAGCAAGGTTGGGGCCAACCACACACCTGTAGGGGGAAATTATTCTGCAAAGTGGGGAACTGTGCAGTATATTTTTAGAGGAGCCTTTTAGGACCATATTCAATCTTAATATCATGCTTTTTCTCCTCAGGTTTTTTTTTTCCAGCTGGATATTGAAAAGAATTCCTAACACATAAGCCACTGTTGTTCAATTGTTAACATATCTATATGTTATACATGTGTCAGTGTCTCACGCACACATACAAAGGGGGCTTTGATCATGTTGCAGTGACTGCAGCCTTGTCATTTTTTGTACGCACACTTCACAGGGGCCACTGCTTAAAAGGAGGAAAATACAGATACTTGCTATGGCCCCTGGTAAAGGGGCTGGAAAGAATTCCAGAAGCCCTGCCCTGCATGTTTTCCCTACTTTGTTATTCTTCCCCACTGAATGGAATGTTGAACACAAATAAATGAAGAGGCCTGAGGATTCTGTCTGTCTATCAACATAATAACGCTTTCAAGCTGAACAGCGGGACCAAATTTTGTTGACAAGAGAAGCCAGCAAAGGAAAGATTGAGCTTGAAAATGTTTGACCAGCGGCTACAGAGGAAAAAAAATCCCCCAGCGCATCCTTATGGGAGATAGTTGGGTAGCTGCTTAGAAGGTTACCAACACCTCCATACTAAGCCCCCTCCCCTCCGTCTTTCCTGGCCACATAAGCCGGTGCATTGCTGTTTCTAAAGGCTTGGAAAGAATTCCAAAAGCCATGCTTTGTGTGCTTTCCCTACCAAGTGATGTAACATTTATCTATCCAATTCACATGGCTGCCCATCTCAACAAGTGACTCTGGATGGCAAACAGAATTAAAATAAAATAACAATTAGAAAAATTAGAAAAATTAAAATACAAAGCAGCCAAGAAACATCAAGCCCAAGTCACTAACACAACCAAGAAGTGGGTCCCTGCACACTGTCTGCGCCCCAGGCCAGGGCACAGAACCAGGTCTTGCTGGCAAAGGCCTGGCATGAGGGAGTATACTTCATGCTTCTGTAGCAAAAAGTAGCAGATACAGGAGTATAGCAGAGCTTTTTTCATGAGCTATTAAGTGCAGGCATTTTTAGGCAAGATCACAAAAAGCCATTTGTGCAAAAAGCACTGCTGCATATGGAATGTAGGACATTAGTCTTACCATCTTTTCTCAGCCTAATCTACTTCACTGAGTTGTCAGGACAGATTGTGGAAAAACTATGTACATCACTCTGTAGGTGAAGGGCAAATTGAAAATACAATAAATAGCCTTATGCAATGGGTTGCATTCAGGCTAAGTTACTAGAACCAAAACTTAAATCAATGGGGCAAACTAATCATGACTTAAGTCCCACTGCTATAAATGGAAACTGTTTAGCTAATTTCATCCAAATCCATTAGTTTTGAATTACAACCCTCCCTCCCTCCCTCCCTCCCTCTGTTCCTTTTCATTTCACTGACCACTTTTCTTTTTCTTTTTTTGATTGATTAAATCCTCAAGAGTAATTCAAGGAAGAAAGGCTAGCTTTTAATGGTATTAGACACACCCAGTGAATAGGCTTCTACATGTCGCTGTTGTAACAGTTGGCACGTGATTTTGTATGAAGTTTAACACAAATTATTGGCCAGGTTCCTAGGAATGTTGGCATTCTCCAATATTATTCTCCCATGCCAAATAGCAAGGAGGCCTTCAGAAAGAGTTTGGATATTGCACGAGATCTTCTGTACAGAGAAAAACAAGTCAGAGATCCACTGGGCAGGTCCAGCCTCCAGCTCAGTTGCATGCGTTGTTTTTTTCCCCCTTTGTTTTCTGGGTTTCTGAATATATCGTTCATTTATGTGGTTACCATTTGCAGTACTAGCTTAGGTTGGGTCTTTTTGATAGAAAACAATAAATCTTCAAAAGAGGGAAATAATTTTGCTTTTCTACTTTCTAGCTTCTACTTCTAGGTGGAACTAATTTTCCTTTTCCACCAGTCATTTTTCTCCCCTTTCTTGGGAAGCCATTGGGTTCTGTTATGAATGTCTTGAATAGTGGCATTAGAAAAAAGGAGGTGGGAATCAGTCCCTCAACTAAAATGCTGCAGATAGGATCCAAGCCAGTGAAAGGGCATAAGAAACACTAATCCCTCAGTGAGGAATGCTGGTTAGGCTTCCTGAGTTCCTACTGACAGGCAGACTTCTAATAATCATAATGTTGAGACTTGAGAGCAAAAGGCAGGAAGATAGAGATTTCTTGGAGGAAGATAAACTTGAGAAGAAAAGAAAAATAGAGACAGAGCTGAAAAAGGCAAACTTGATATGTTTGAGAGGGAGAGAGAAAAGAGACCAAGCCAGACAGTTCAGCTGGTGAGGCATGGAAAAAGCAGGGATTTTATTTGGAATGAGATGGGAGCAGAAGGATTGTTTCTGGTGGGACTACAAAAATCAAATCCTGAAAAAAATGGAAGAGGAACAGTCCAGGAGGACATTATGACATGAGCAAGGAGGTCTGTTAGATCAGGGAATGTTAATGAACGTGGGGAGGGAGTGCTTTTGAAGGAGGTGTTTTCACTAGATCAAAGTTAATAACGTTCTTCAAGGTTAGGTTTTAAGAAAATTATCCACAGTGTCATTGGATGTATTTTCTCCCTTTAATTTTTTCCTGGTTTTTTGGCGGGGGGCAGTGTGGCAGAAAAAGCAAGCACCTACCAACCTTCATCCTTTGTGTCCAGGTAGAAGCCTCCATGGCACCACATTTATTGGAAGAAAGACTGCAACTGGGGAGGAAGAGTCTCACAGAGCTCCCCCAGGTCAGCCCAGTCCCCAAACAACCAGGAAAGGGCACTCCAAATCTCTGGAAGGGAGGCAGGAGAAGGGGCCTACACTTGCAATGCTTGTTTCCATGTGAAAGATGGAATCACCTTCCTTTTTTGTTGATGCATAATTGATAATATGGGACCAAATCTGATGTGTGGGAACCGCCTTTAATACCATTTCCTGCAGTGAACAGCAACAGCAAACTGAACTTCTTGTTTAATTAGCTTCTCAGCTTGATTTCTCAAATTTGCTAGCACTGACCTTTCCTAAGGTGACTGAAGTGTCACATGGCCATATTTTGACCATGAGTGCATAAAAACAGGAATTTGATATTCTTTAAAACAGTAAGAAATGCAGCATTGTGATTTTTGTTTTTTAAGAACATCATATTTACCATCAGTGCAAAATCAAGCCACTCCATTCATTCTGTGAAACAACTCCAGGAAGACTCTACTCTAACTCAAGAGAGCCTGTACACCAAAATACCTTAAGAATAATGCCTTCCCTGAAGAATATTTATTTGAAATAATAATAATTCATAATTCCCAAGATATTAGTGTTTGTTGAAATGTGAAATCCAATAAAATATAATCCTCACTTTGCTTATATTTTAAAAATTCTCTAAATTTAATATTAAGGAAACCCAATCTTTGTGCATATATTAAAGGCAATTATGGAATATTTTACACAATCTCAGAATGTTTCAGTGTTTTGTTTGATGTGCATTGAAATAATGTAGCTGGGCTTCATTTTATTAACATTAGATTCCAGATTTATCCAATAATATTTAATAGGTCTATGCATTGCTTCCTTAGAATGCACAATAGTGTGTGAATGCGGTATCTGTTGACAACTCATTAAAGTAGCTGCACCTGTTTCCAAGATCACCTAGTTGCTTTAATGAGTTGCCAACAGGTACTGCATTCACACTCTCACAGGCTCTGAAGTAGCTTTTCAGAACTGAACTTGAAGCATTTCACAGTCCTAATTTTTAAATCCATATAAGGTGGAGATGATTGATTTTAATGATTGAAATCTCCAACCTGTTTCTAAGGCTGGAAGATACTGAAATTATATTAGGAAAGCCATGTAGAATCTACTGAATATGATAGGATAAATTCCTAATAAGTGAGATGTTTTTGCAGATTATACATTGTTTGTCCTTATTCTAGAGGGAAGTAGTCTGCAAGTTGAAAAAATATCCTGAAAGAGGGCAACAGCATATTTTCTATTGGATCTCTTTCTTCTGAATATAATAGCCATCCAGTGCTGAGTGCCAAATGTGAGTATCATCACATCACGTTTCAGTGATGGTTATTTCATCATATTTGACTTCCATTTTGAATCTTCCATTTCTAATCTAATTTCCCATACTCTCTGTGCAACTGTACAAACACCTGAGGTTTTCAGCGTTATCATCTCCTGGCATCTCTGTTAGAGTGTCCTGCCAAACTGCATTTTATCTTCCCTTGGCCTGTTCATAGAGGAATTGCTGTGATGAATAGCACAGATGTTACCCAGAAAGCAAACTGGTGAGGCTATTCCCTGCCAACACCTCTAACCACCAGTATGTGTATGTGTGTGTGCGCGCACGCATGCGCGCAAAGCAGGTGAGTTTACTTCCAAACCTCACCCCAGACATAAAGATCCTCAGCTACAGATACCACCCCTCACATTCTTTAAAAATTCTATGCAGTCTTGCCTAAGAAGTCTTGTAATAACACTGATCTTAAGGCCTGTTAATTTGCTTTCTGGCATGCCTGTTTCCTATTTAATTGTTTTAATGAAATGATTTTTTAAAATTTAAAATGAGATAGGACAGGGGCTTAGTAGATTCCAGAGGTGGTACCGACTATGTTGCCCACCCTAATTGTTTCCTAAATTTGGTACCTGAGAAAAGTTCATCAGAATTATTCAATCAGCACAGTGCCCAGATTTATAGCTATTTAAGTCATAATGTGCTCTGTTTGTTTGTATGCATGCAGTCATTGTGATTTGTAAATTATGCTTTATGGTGTTATGTAAGGTGTAAGCCTAGCCCTTATAGTTGAATAGACCATAGTTAAATCAAACCTAGACTTAGTACAATGTGGACACCCAGTCTATAACTATTAAATATGTTACCAATTTTATGAAACATTAACTGGGTTTGCATGTTCCTAAGCCACCATTAACCACCATCTCTTAAATAAAGAACAGTTGGCTGCATTCATACAACTCATTCATTCGTTCATTCATTCATTCATTCATTCATTCATTCATTCATTCATTCGATTTACATAATTCAAAACCAGATCATATTATACCTGAACAAAATGTATGATCCCGATTACTGTGCTTCTGGAAACTGAAAATTTTCTTTAAAAAAAAAAATGTAGTGCCAGGGGGGGGGGGGGGGGGGGGGTGGAGGAAGAGAAGGGCAGGATGATGAAGGCACTATCACAGCATCACAATGCAAGCCCTGCCCCATTTGTACATGTATCAGGATGTTGTATACCTATGCAAAAGGGATGGACTTTGCAGTATGATATGGCGTTCATCAGTCTGGCCAAAATATCAAGCTCTTGCAGATGCCCATGTGGCCAGGAGTAAGAGCTATGACCACAACAGGAGGCTATGGGTGAATTTGGACTTATATCCCTAGTTTTGTATCATAATTTGTAGTATTTGCCATATATGTTGGCTAACTATGCAAGAATATGTCTGTTTATTTGAGGGAGTTGATTTTATGTGATTTCTGCCAGAAAATAACTTGTATATTTCATTGTAGTCCTCTGTTGGATTTGTTTTCTGTATTTCATCTGTTATATTTACAACTTGTTTTTTTATTCACAATTGTGAAATATCTAACAGGAGCAACGTCGTCATAATAAAACAATTGATAATATGCAACATCTTAAATGAGAATAAGACAGCTTTTATGTGTTATTTATGAAACACCCAAAATACTAGAAACAATGGCAAAGAAGTGCAGTGTCATATTTTAATTAAACACCAGGGTAAATAAAATTATTTTATTTTATTTATTACAAGACTGGTAATTTAGGAATTATTAGGTTTTGGCCCCAGATTCTACAGTGCTGCCATGAAAAGATCTGATTCTTATAAAGAAGCTACGTACCTTGGAATTACAAAGCAGGATTTGTTCTCCGTTGATGAATTCTGACTTCATTATAATTCTGAAATCTCATAATTTCCAGTTTACATAGCATTAAATTGGAAAGGGCTGTGCTAAACATAGAAGTCCTGTTTCATTATAGGTGATTCTCCCACTTAGCTCTTACCACCAGTACAAATGGCTACATGCAGTAATATACAATGGTTAATCAAACGTATACTCCAAAATCTTAGTTAATTGCTCTTTGCAAACAGGATATGTTTCAATCCTGTTTCAGATAATCCAGGAATATTATTGATCTCCATGTGCAGATTAGAATTATCTAAGGCTTGTTCTTAAAACTGTGTGCTATTTGCTCATTTCTGAAAAACAGTCCGTCTTGTCTTTGGTGAAAATGTTCTTTAATCCACTGTTTCTGATTATGATTTTGTAGTCATGATGTTGCTTGAAATAATACTGGCTGCAGTTTTTGGGACCATTATTTACTTGTTTCTGACTAAGACTAAGACAAAGGAGGAAGCTTTGTCTATGGGAGATGGATGGTGGGGTGCAGGACAGAAGCCTGACTCTGAAGAAGATACAGCGATACGTCCTTTTAAGGTGGACACCTCAGAGGCAGAGATCAAGGTAAGAAACTCTCTTTCATGTTGAAGTACAGCAGAGCATACCTGACTAGCGGTGCAGATCTATACATGCTTTCTTACAGATAATGCAATAGCATTTCTACCCAAATAAATGTTAGAGTTGCAGGCAAAACATTTTTCTGATTAGCCTCACTACTACCTCTTGACTTTAATTCAGATAATTGATATAAGAAGCATAGAAATGTGCTCCATGGTGAAATTTGGCCCTTTTGCACAAATGCTAAAAAAATTGTTTCTTCTCTGACAGTTATGGTTATAAGCAGCTATGATCAGAATTCACAGCTATATCTGGATGTCAGTAGGATACCGTGTTTCAGTTCAGCTTCAAGCCAACCTGGACCATGTTTTGTACAGTATTGCATATATCTAATAATAGCTTTAAAATAAGGAAATAAAGAAGGGTAAAATGTACCCAAGTGAAATCAAACTTTATGTTAACCCAGTTCTCTGCTCTCCAGAGAGAACCGTTGATTTTACAAAGTTTATGGCTGTATTTTGCTCTGTTTCAGGCAAATGGAAAGGCTGGCTTTTAAGAACATTTCTACATAATCAGCCAAATCCCATGCTCCAAATTTCTCTTTTTTTCTCTCTCTCTATAAATAAATTATCTATATCTTACACAAGCCCATGCAAGGCCCTGTTTAATCTCTAGAGAATGAGAGACAGCATAGCCTCTGTTCAATGAGAGAGAAGGAAATGTTAATGGAAGCGCACAACAGAGGGGCATCAGTGAAGGAGACAACTCCCCAACCTTAACTCTTTATAGAAGAACATTCCTTCTGACCCAGAAAGAAGGGATGGCTTCCATTTCCAAAAATGTTACTTGCCACATGGCATGTCATAGTCAACAGGGTTTCATGATGCTCTTTCACATTCTCAGTCACATTGTAAAAAGCATTTAATACACTATTGGAAAAAGTCTTTTTTTTTTCAATCAAAGCAGTGGCTATCACCATGATAGGTGAGAAATGAATGTGCTCTATCCCTCAACAATAATATTATGTGGGAAAGTCTTACAGGAATGTATAGGAAATTCCAGCAGGATCCACACCAAATCACAGTTATGCTAAAATAACAACATATGCATGGTGAAATCATGGCGTGCTGATTGAAAGGGTTGGAGAAGTGACTGTGAATAAAATTTGTGAAGTTTAACTTGGGCAGAGTACGCAGATCATCTTTTTGCTCTTTAATAAGTAAATAAGAAATAATGAATAAGAAAATAAGAAAGCTTATTGTACATTTTTTGATTTAGGGAGAGAATACAATAAATAATAACCTGAATTCTGACATGTTTTGTCTGAATACATAGTTGGAAATTTGAATGCTGAATGGAGTATATGATGGAAGTAGAGCATCCATGAGAAAAAATGAAAGCTTAGCAACACTGAGCAAGCAATAAGATGAGGATGGGTGATGTCTTTACTGAAATGTACTTATAGTAAAGGTATAAGTGTGTTGCTTGGGGTGATATTACAGGTGCCTCAGTTGGGCACATGATCTGCCATATTGTTAGCCAAGACCCCAACTGATTTGCAGCCGATGTTAGTTCATTTGTATAATGTAGTGAGGAGCATGGACCTGAAAATTAATGTATGACAGACCAAGTATTTGTATTTGAAAGGGAAAATGGAATGAATGATTACATTATATAAATGGTGAAAAATTATAACAAATAGATGGTTTTGTGTACCTTAATAGAATGCTTGCTAAAAATGGGAAAATGGAAGGAGAAATATTAAGATATGCAGATGGTAAAGGTGGAGGGAAGTATGTGATATGCTGTCAGGAATGGATATTTATCAAAATAAGTGAAAATGGTTATGTGTAAGACTGTGCTTCTGCCTATTTTGTAATATGGAAATGAGAGCTGAATATGTCAGGAGAAACTTAAGAGTAAGTTGGATGCAATGGGAATGGAGTGTGGTAAAAAAACAGGGTCAAGAATGAATGCATGCTGAATGAATGTGAATTGAATACAAGAATGAATGGCCAGTACAGAATAAACACATGGAGGTGGTTTGAATATATATGAAGACTGAATGAGGATCAAATTGCAGAATAAATATATGAAGGAAGACTGGATGGGTCAAGAAGAAGGAGAAGTCCTAGAAAGTAATGGTGGGATGAAGGTGGTGAGATCCTGAAAATTATAGACAAGTTTAAGGAACAAGAGGCAGTATATGAACTGGTAATAGATGTTGTAGAAGGGATAATTTGCATTGAAAGAAAGATACAGAGCAATACAGTGCATTGTGTTACTGTAAATTAGATTGACCTATTTTTTATTTTCTTTTTCTTACCTCATGCCTTAGTTTCTTTCAGTTACTATTTTTGCACCTTTTCTGCATGCTGCATAACATGCAGTACCCTTTTTATGATCATTGGAGACACCTGGAAAGGGCGATTCCCCCAACTCAAGTTTTTTGCTGTTGCTTGTGATTTGATGGACTTAAGAGACAAAATTAATTATTTCAGTCTTGCACAGTCTTAATGCACCATTTCACCCATCCATTAAGACCCTAAGCTGCCCCGTGCCTCCCAATTGGGGTTCTGGTTCTGCCTATTTTTCGCAAGTTATGCAAAGCCCAGTATGATCTCAAGTCAGGAAACGTTATATATTCTTGGCCTGAACCACTTATTCTTAAAATTTTCCTTCAGTAGAAGGGCACATCATGGGGACAGAAGAACAATGCTGAAGCATGGAAGTGGGAACATGACCAGAGTCGGATCACTGGTATTACCTTTGCAAAAGCAAAACCGCTACAAAACATCAACACGTGGGATTCTGAAAACTAATATGACTGAACTGCTCAACAGTCTGAGATCAAGTTCCATTGAACTGAGTGGTACTTGCCTCTGGCTGCTTAGATATGATATAAACATCACAGCAAATATTAACAGAAGCTTTTTAGTGAGATGAAGTATAATCTTTAACTTTTAATTAGAAATGGAAATAATCTTGAATAAGGAATTATTATTTATAGATCTTGGGTGAAGTTGTAACCCCCTCAAAATGCAGGAAAGAAGTAGTGATATTTTTTCATGTTCTAAGGAAGAGAGTAAACTGAAGAATGGAGAAAATATCAACCAGAGGTTAGATACAGTATGTCTGATTTGGATTAGCTTTTCGCCCATTTTTCATTAAGAATAATCCCAGTGTAGGATTTTATAATATATTTGTTATATTTGTACCTCACTTTTTGTCCAGCAGCTGAGGGTGGGTTCCATGGAGATCTTTTTTCATTTTGTCCCCACACCAGTCATGGTGTGAGCACAGCTGGCTTTCAGTTAAGGCTGAGTAGGCACTAGCTACAGCGCCAAAGATTAGTGGGTGCCAACATCACTCCTTGTTCCAAAGACAAAGCCTACTATAAAAATACTAAATCTTCACACCAGCAGGAGGTGGTGCCAGCAGTCAGTGTGGTCTCAGCCACTGTATACCCTTGAGCCGGCATTGGGTGTGAGAAAATTAAGGCTGTCACAGCTGAAGTAAACACTGAAAGTCTTATCACCTCATTCATTCTCCAGGGCAAAAGGGGTTTCTTGGTTACCCACCCAATCTGAAAAGGTTATAACCTCTGCCTAGGTTATTCAGCAGCCTTGTGAAGATTTATGTTTCTATTGTACTTCACTGTGTTCCTTTTCCATGAAATAGAACTTTGTCTGTTTCATTTTATCTTATCTTCTTTTTCCTTTGCACACTTTGCTTGTGTTCTAGGACTTACATCAAAGACTTGACAAAGCTAGATTTGCAGAGCCATTAGAGGACAGTTATTTTCATTATGGATTTAATTCAACTTACCTTAAGAAAGTTGTCTCTTATTGGAGAAACCAGTTCAGCTGGAAGAAGCAAGTGGGAGTTCTCAACAAATTCCCACAATTCAAAACAAAGATTGAAGGTTTGCCGCTAATAATTACTACAGTATGTCTCATCTGAGCATTTTAGGCCTTTTGTGTTCTTAGCATAATCCATGCATGAATTTCTGTATGCCCTTTTTGCCGGTCAGTATACTCTGGTGCTTCATTTAGCTATGACTGGACACACAGCAGTTGGATGGAGTCTTTACACAAAACTTTATTACATTTCACACTTTCCCCAGTACAAGACTTTCCTCCTCATGTCCTCTCAATTGCCCACATCCCCGTCTTGGTTAGCTTTCCCTTTTCTATGCTGAGAGCGTGGAGAGGGGCAAGGTGGACCAACCTGGCTGACCATGGATGTCGGCGC